TTTTTTAAATGCCAACAGCAAGTCTCTTCCTGGGACTTACATAGGGAGGGGGAAAAAAAAAATTAAGGTCATGCTGATTAATCAGTCACTGGTTTATTAAACATCTGGAGGGAGACCAATTGTTCAAATTGCCCCTAATTTGACAAGTAAAATGGAGCCTGATTTTTTAATTTCGCTTTTCCCGGAGTAAGTTAGTGAACGTGGGGTGACTCGAGAGAGAAAAGCAAACCTTTACAAAAGGGGGGGGGGTGAAGTGGAAGGTGATTTTAGGGATCTGTCAAAGCACCACATGGCAGATCCAGAGGCATTTGCAGGGGGGTCAAAAAAGTCAAGATGGCATCTGCACAATAGAAGCCCCTCCCCTTTGACTTTTTTGAAACCTCCCCCTGGCAGATACCAGCTCCAAAGAGCTCGTGGTCCAAACTTTGACCAAACTGGAAAAGAACAGAAATGCAGTCAGATAGGCATTTTCTTAAATCGGGGACAGCTTCCTTCTGTGTTTTCGGTTCTGTCTTCACGCCGAAGACCAAGATATCGGAAGGTTTTCTTTGGTCACCCTTACCCTGGGGAACTCCCTGCCTCAGGAAACCAGGTTGCCGCCTCTGCGTGTCCTTTGGCCGACCGTTAAGACCTCCCTGCTTAAGAAGCCTTGAATTCCGTGGGAATGTGCATTTTATCTAATGTATCGTGTTATCTTTTCGATCACCTATAACGTTATTTTTTGTTTTTCTGCGACTTTAAGTTTTGTATCGGCTTTGGCGTTTATGAGCACCGTAAAATGTTCAAGCACGCTGGAAGGACAGGATATTCTTTTTATAATGTACACAATTGTGCACAGGCACACACGCGTTGCTTTGTATATTTCCCTGGCGTTAATAGTTTTACGAAGTCCCAACACCAATAATTTAACTACCCACGGCTTTCATTTCTTCCCACCAGAAGAGAAACGTGCCTGTTTTCAAATCTTTCAAACCCTTTGTTCTAATTCTATTTTTCTCTCTATCAGATCTGTCTGAAGGGTATGGTCAAAAAAGTCAAGATGGCAATCGCGGCAGTGGATTAAAGCTCTGCCTGTTTTTTATGGGCTCCCACCATCTTGACTTTTTTGACCATGCCCTACAGATACCTCTGCCCTCTATTTTACTGTTGTTGTTCTTGCTATATTCGTAAACGATTGAGTATCTTGTGAAGCAACGGACGGGAAGGAGCCGTCAAAGTGATTGCATTTATTCTGGGGCGGGGGGTGTCCAAAGCATTTTGAGTCTGGTACGTTTCAAGCCATCCATCCTGATCTTGAAGCAGGGGCTTGAGGGTCCTCCTTACCTTCTTCCAGCCTTTCTAGAAGTATTTTGAGCTTGGAACGGTCAGAACAGCGTTGCAACGCTCCCGTAAGGTCGAAAGAGATCCAGATGGAACGTTTTGAGATCCAGATGTTTAGGAAGATGCTGGATGTGGTTGTTCCAGTTGAGTCCTTAACGTTGCCCCCTTCTCCTTCCGATTCTTTACCTCTGTTGCATTTGGACAGCAGATGGGAAGAGCGGATTCATCGCTGTCCTAGGATCCATCCAGCCGTCCTCCTTGCTGATCCTCCACATCGGTCTGCTAGCTGTTCTTGAAGGAGGTGTCCTCACGACGCAGCCTTCATCACAACGCGGGTCCGTGGCTGAGGCCACCTAGCCATATGGACCTCATCCAGATTGGGGTGGTGTTTTCAGTCTCTTCTGATTGGCAGTCAGTGGCAACCCCTCCAGCCCCAGCGGCTGAACCTCTCTGTAGTTCTTCCCCTG